CAGGGTCCAGGGGCACCACAGGCCTAGCAAGGGCACCACGGGCCTGTCAGGGGCACCTCAGGCTCCCGTGCTACCCCCCCCCCCGGATCCGCCAGTGATGCCACACCACGCGAAACACCGCGGACCGCCAACTACCAGCTGCCGCGCCATAAACACGTGCCAACAACAGTCTTTTTTTGAAGGTCGACTCCGCTCGCGCAACTTTTGACTGACCCTCACTGCTACCATATTGCTTCCATATTATGCTGTGGAAACTTTACTTCACCAAGTGGCTAAAAACCTCCATCAAGGTATATTTTCTTAGAAATTTTTCTGACGTTTTGGGGGGGGCCAAACAGGCCACTTTAGGCCTTTGGGGGGGGCCATGGCCCCCGTGGCCCCCCCCTGGATCCGCCAGTGCGCCTGATAGCAAAGTTTGAATTGACCATTTATAGTTTTTAGAAAGAAATGAAGCACAGCAAAGTTCCATAGCATTTCAAACATAACACTAGATATCAGGCATAACAATAATTGAAGTTCTCGTCAGGACAGGCCTTTATCCGTGACGAAAACATTTCAATTTCATCACTCGCACAACATTCAATTATATCAATCATATACTTTTATCAATCAATCATACGGTTCGCCGTTTATCGGTCAGATATTTCCTCTCACCGATGTCTTATTATTGCAGTCGTCAACAAAATTTTCCTAATGAATTTTTGGTGGCTGGCTCGCTCGATTGTCCCTGAGTAATGAATATTTCACGGAGTGAGCAAATTAAATCGGCACATCGACTGGGGCTGTTCGGTCGAGATTTACGGGCTTCTCCAACCAACTAATGCAGTTTAAGACTTATATAGCGGTCGGACAAGGGTCACACCGACTACAGCACAAAGCGCACGCAAGACAAGCTAGTTCGGTCGAGACTTATGGGCTTCTCTATATCAAGAGAAGGGATCGCTGCCGACTTGCACAACATGCCGCCCAAACAACAGGTGTCTGGGTCGCGGATTTACGGGCTTCTCCAACCAACTAACGCAGTTTAAGACTTATATAGTGGCTGAACAAGGGTCACACCGACTGACATGATTGTGCACGCGAACTAGCCTGCTCGGTCGAGACTTACGGGCTTCTCCATATCAGAAGAAGGCTCACTGCCGACTTGAGCGCAATGTGCACACGTAACAGCGATTCCCGGCCGATGCACCAAATTTATGTAATGTACCCGTGATGCCAGCGGCAGCGCTACCGCCAACACCCGTTCTATCCCCCGACAGCCGTCTGCCACCCGGCCGTGGTGGTCCAACTATTGCATTTACTTTACTTTGGCATCCGGTGGACAGGGAATGCATCACCTTTGGGCACACACGGTTGGGTCGCGCACCCTCGTGGGTTGCGGTGTGCACAAGGCTATATAAACCAGGTAGAACGCTCCCGAAGAAAAAGTGGTGACAAGCAATATTTAGTTGCCGCGACCCTCACTTGTTCAAGACTATATCCGCAAGCAGCATTTACAAGCTAGCGGAAATCGACCAATCGGCGTTCGGCAATACTCAACGCTGATTGGCCCGATGCTCGTGACGAAATTGCGGGGGACTGCAGCTACTCCCCTATGGCGTTTCATTGACTTATGACTTTTGAAGGGGATTTGTATCAGTTTTTGTTGGGTTTGAGGCCATTTTTGAGCTTGGATATTCTTTCCGTGACCTTTGACTATATAATAACGACATTTAATTATGACATTTCTATATACTACCGGTGTCACATCGGCCAAAAAGACCGTAAGTACATGGGATAGACGGACCACTGCTGATGGGGCCACACATGTCGGCGTGTGGTCATCGGAGGCCCATGAGGGCTCGACATGGGCCCTTTATGGGTCGGTATAGGCCCAGTGGGTCCAGTGCAGGCCTACCAGGGGCCGGTGGCATATAATGTAAGGCTGTCTCGGGACGAATTGAGGGCTCATGGGGGCCATATAGGACCATTAGGGACAACATAAGCCAATCAGGGGTCCATTTAGGCCAATAAAGGCGCTTCAGGGACTTGAAGAGGCCATTCAAGAGCCGTGGTGGGCCCATGAGGGGACGGCATTGGTCCATCAGGTGCAGTCAGGGGATGTTGTACGGGTTTCTCAGTGACCCATTTGGGCATATCAGTGACCAATTTAGACCCAGCAGGGGGCTTTGTAGACCTATCAGGGGCTGGTGATGGTTTATCGGAGGCCAGCGTTAGTCCATCGGGGCACGGCATGCCCATTAGAGGTAATTGCGGGCCCACACTGAACAATGATGGCCCTTCAACGGCCCCTAATGGATCTAGATTGACCCATGTTCCATGATGTGTCATGTATGCCCCTATGGCAGGCCTACTCAGACCCCTGATGGACGTTCCCGGCCTCTGATGACCCTATACTGAATCCTGGTGGGGCTCTAAGAGTCTCCAATAACCCTTCTTCAGCCCATTATTACCATACGCTGGCACTAAAGGCCCCACATCAGCCGCAGGGCAGTCCGTGCCAAGACAGCATGTCTTTTCGGCCGATATTACATCGGTAATATTAATTAAAATCATGATTTTATGGTGCCATTATATAGCTAACAGTCATAAGAAATATATTTCAACTCGAAAACAGCTCGAAACAGCATATAATCTTAAAGAAACCCCTCTGAAATCCAAAAGCCTATTCGGGTCCATAGAGAATAACTGCGGTCCCCCGCAATTTCGTCACGAGCGTCGGGCCAATCAGCGTCGAGCACTGCCGAGCGCTGATTGGTGGATTTTCCGCTAGCGCGTGAGTGCTGCTCGCGGAACAAGAGTTCGTCGACAATCCTCCACAAACGTCTGTCACCACTTTTCGTAATGCTAAACAGCCGGAGCGTACCCCCCTGGGTGTGCATTACACCGTCTTAATTGCAAGTTACGTTATTATTACATTTACGTTACGTTAATGTTTAAACTCCGTGACTCATTCATTATCTCCGTCTTTCGTCTCTCGTCTCGAATGTCTCTCTCTGCCAAACAAGATAAAGATTTCTGCTCCGTTATTATTTATATAAAACAAGTATAACGCCAAAGAATGAAACAAGACTGCTCGGGAATGTACGTCTACGGGAAATTGCGTCGCCTCAGAATAAACGCGCAGATTAGCCTAACATACCCTAACACGCGCAATCTACACATTTACTTTACCTTGCTCCTAGCCTAGCTAGGGAGGCGGGGTGAGCACAAAGCCCCATCCTCCGGGTCAGCGGGACACCTACCTCGAGCGAAGCCACCACACGAGAGCCCCGATCGGCCGGCGCTCACGCGTTATAACCCAGCTCGAGGCGGGAGTCGGAACGGTCAGCCCGCCCGAGGTGAAAGCCAGCCTCGCGTTCCGACGCGGCGCCCGTCGACCAGGAAAACCTATTCCTACAGGCGCGGGCTTTACACTACCACAACACCTGCAGAGGTACCTTCCTGGAAAAATGACGCCCAGGGAGGTGACTGTCCAACTTATTGGAATACTACCATGATTGCTTGTCAAAGTGTGTGTCATCATGCTCTCGTTTGACAAGTGATGTATAATAAATGTGATATTCAATAATTATCTCCTGACTGCTGACTGTTGAGTGATCAAAATATTCAAATAATCAGGGTACAATGCTGTGCATAGTGCACACTAATCATGTTGTTTTTGTGTAGGCCCTCTGCACATTGTTGTGTTCACTGCTATGTGCACCTTAAGTAAAAAAGTGACTGGTGGTACATGACAAAAGGTTGTGCAACTGTGAAGTTCATGCCCTTGGTCAAGCTGGTGCCAAATGCCTATAGCTATAGTATAGCAGGATCACTGATCAGTGAGGGTTGTAGACATGCTAGCTACATACATTGTGCATTGAAGATATTGGCACAAAGTTCATCCGTAATTACTATGCTTAACACCTAATGTAAGAAGCGACATAAATGCCCAGATGATAAAACTCTCTGGTCAACATCACACAAATTTATTGACAAACTTTGCAGGTACATATTTACATTCATGGCAAAATATACTTTCGATTTGATTCAGAAACTAGTTGCTAGTAAACTTGCATTTTTGTAGGTACAACAACGACCATATATTGAATCATAAAAAACCTCATGGCATTCATCAGTCATCACATACCTTTTTACCGAACAAGTACCTAGCTACCATGCAATGATTCTAAAAATTTCCGCAATCCATCTATATCTCAACTGACACAATGAATTTGAAATACCCTAACAAAACCTATAACTGTACATAAAAATAATGCAATACTACAAGAACTATGAATTTCTGAAGTTATTCTCACATGCTGGAATGTTGAAACTCTACTTTTGTCATCCATTTCCACGTTTGATTGAGCCATCATATCAAACTGTTTTCGTTCTTCAGTCACAAGCTTTCGCACAAATCTGGAATTTTTACACATCATCTTGAACCATGCTCCAGTCTTTCCAACAAGGTACTATGTAACATCAAAGCAATTTTGATTTGTTACAACAGCTTCAGATCATGATAGGCTTGAGGTTTGTTACACCATTTGCCAGACAAATCTCTGCAAAATGTCTAGTGTATCAATTCCCAAACTAAGTAATTGATCATATCAGTATTTGCAGTTTCCACACAATGTTTCATAATATTATTCTATGTTTATATAAAGAAACTCAAATAATCCACAAATTGTTATCGAAACACTCCCACTTCAAGAACTCACAGAAACAGTACAAGTTCAGAAGCAAACAAACATTGCGCCAGATTTCGTATGAAACGCGCCATCGTCCTGAAGTTTCTACCACAGACGGTAGTTCAACCGCAGCCGTAGTGCGAAAACCCCTGCCCACCTTACCCCACGGCGGAGCTCGGTTGCAATTTGTAAATACGCGGCTCGGCTACAGTTCTGGAACGTGATTGGCCGGACGGCATAGAATCTTCGCCGTCCGAGAGACATCGAACGCGGGGTAAATAGAAGATAGCTCAGAGTGTGGCGCTCTTCTTTCGTTTGCGGCGCAAAAGCGCGCGTTTAGAAGGGGATGGGGCAAGATACCTATAAGAAACTATATATATAAGGGATGGGGTCGGTCAGTTAGGTCCAGGTCAGTTAGGTCAGGTCTTGAGTTAGGTGGTCTTTTTCACATAGTTGTATGGTTATTTTAAAGATGTTTATCATTATGTTTTTGTAAAAGATCACCCATACTAAGGTACATTTTTTCTTTTTAGGTACCTACCTTTCATTTAGCTCAGCTGTTGTAGGTTGTATGAGATTCTATAAGTTTGGAATAATTTAAAACCCATTGGCCATTCTTATCCTGATTCCAAAAAAAAACTTGAACAAAGCAGTCGGAAATAAAGGTAAGCTATTTATTGATACTATTTCTTCAAATAAGTGTTATCTTCCTTGCCATCTCTGTAAGGCTGCCAAATTTTTGGCAAATTTCCCTGGACAGTCAACACGGCTGATGTTTGCATGGTCGAGGCATGCCTAGACCTGCAGTCATATCAATGTGAATCAGGGGTTGTCACTCTTGGTCACTACTTCGCTTCACCATAGGTCCAGTACTGATGTCATTGGTTTCTATCTAGGTGATGTCAGTGCTGTCTTCATCTGGGAACTTCTTACACTTGTTTCTCAGTGGTGGCCATATTGTTTTCTCCCATGACAACACATTTGTGTCATATTTCCCATTCGGCTAGAAACTGGCTGCAAACAAATCACTCAGTACCGCTACCTTCTATAAATGACCTTGTGAATGCATGTTTGTGTTATATTGTTTTTGTGGGTCAGTGATTTGATGAATGATTGATAGCATGCTTCTCTTATTAAGCATTTGGCTGAGATTTAAGTGGAGGACTGTGCCAATTAGTGCTCTTCCTTCATTTGCTCTATAATTGAATCAAGCTACTGCATGGTCTGAAGAGCATGGAGTAGCTTAACTGTTACCTATACTCTATAGTTGCCAACCATTTGTGTATAGGTAGGTACTGATATACTACAGTACTGTATGTACTGTGGTACAAAGTACATGCATGGCAACTTAACCCGCGCACCGACGGGGGGGGGGCGGATATCCGCTCCCCGAGGTTTTTCGCGGATACGCGAAATTTGGTATGACTATTCTCTCATCAATTTTACACATGGTGTGCAAGTTTGAACCTCCTAACTTTTAAGGTCAGGTCACCAGGTCACTTTGAATGACCCAACCTCAAGTCACTTTTTTGCAACTTTGTCACCGTGCCAGAGCTACAGTAGATGTCGGAGGCCTTTGAAAGTCGCAGGATGTTATTAGGTCATTAGTAGCTACAATTTGTATATCTCGGAATTTTGATGTCGGTGACCTAAGGTCAGGTCAATTTCGCGACCTCCCCATTATAAGTCAATGGGGGAAAAATCAACTCCCTGTTTTTACCACTAAAACGGGTCGGAATGGCCCCATATACCATACATGACTTCACATACGATCAACCTTCACTACCTTGAGGTCTGTTTTGCTGTTGGGCAGCTGTAAGGTCATGTGACGTCATCAAAGGTCACCAAAGGTTTTTTGCCAATAACTCCTTACAGGAACAAGATACAGCCGCGCGGATGGTCTCATTGTGTTCAGCTCGTCAAGACGCATCGAATGATATACATGATGACCTCGAGGTCACGTGACCTGAGGTCAACCTTTGACCTTGACCTTTCGAGGTCAACATATATATCATTCGATGCGGATTGACGAGAGGATCACGATGATGCCCTTATTTTGTTCCTATCTTGACTACTTCGAAAGTTATTCGAGAAAAAATCCTCTCCATATCTAGCGCCGCCATTTTGACTTTTTCGACCCCTGTGACGTCATCTTTGACCTGACCTGAAAATGACCTTAGTAAAAATTGTAGACCTTGTCCGTGCGTATCCGATGCCGTTTACCGCTTGTCGCTATCTTGCTTCGTTCTCGAGATCTCAGGGGGGGGGCGGTCATCCGCCCCCCCCCCCGTCGGTACTAAGTTGGCGCAGACCCCCGTCGGTGCGCGGGTTAAGTACAGTACATACAACCAAGTACCTATGTGCTGTAGAGAAGCATGGCTTTGAGCCACCTTCATATGAAACCCCTGCAGCAAATCATGAACTTTTCAATGCTTGCTGATATATGAAAGTATATACTACCTTAACCTATGCACCATCAATACTATGTTGCAAAAACTGTCAGTGCTAATTTCTATGTTTTTCTTGATTGGTTTTCATTTGTTTTCTATAGAAAAACCCAACTTTAACATGTAACCATTACCCTCAACTATGAAACTATGGTAGAGCCAATTCCCTTGCGTTCACAAGCACCAATGCTCTGTAAAATTATGGTTAGATATCTTTTATCAGCATGATCTGAGCATCTCCTACATGCTTCACATAGGCTTGTGACATTACTATGCTTGTGTTTCAATGCTTTCCTTCTTCATGGTTTCCTCCCAAGGTCTTTGATGACGGTGAGCATTGTTCCAATAGTAAAGAACAAAGCTGCTTCAATCACGGAAATGAATAATTATAGACCTGTGGCAACCCCTAATATGGTGAGTAAGCTTTTCGAGGTAGTACTGCAAAAACGACTTCAGAATTATTTGTTGACACAGGACAACCAGTTTGGCTTTAAAAAGAACCTTGGTACAGACCAATGCATTTACACTTTGAAAGAGATAGTTGAAAAGTATAAGTCAATGAATAGCATTGTCCATCTGTGTTTTCTTGATGCAAGCAAGGCGTTTGACCGTGTTAATCATAAAATTCTCTTTCAGAGGCTTTCAGAGAGAGGTGTTCCTTATGTGTACCTAAGATTGCTTGCGTTCTGGTACCAAGAGCAAGAAATGGTCATTAAATGGGGATCCACTTTTTCAGAAAAGTTTAAAGTGTCCAATGGTGTCCGGCAGGGAGGTATCTTGTCACCTCCCCTTTTCAACGTGTTTATAGATGAGTTGTCTAGCAGATTAAATGAAATGGGCATAGGTTGTCTTATAGGTCGGAAATTGGTCAATCACCTGATGTATGCTGATGATGTGGTGCTTATCTCTCCATCAAGTGCAGGGATGCAAAAACTGTTGAATGTGTGCCATGAATTTGGTATGGCAAATGATGTTGTGTATAATAGTTCAAAAAGTGTTGCAATGTCATGTAGATCGAAGGGGATGAGGAATGTCAAAATACCTGATTTTATGTTAGGACCCATGCCGTTAGTATGTGTTGATAAAGTTAAATATCTTGGGCATATCATAGAGGAAGACATGACTGATGATCTAGATATTGCCAATCAGAACAAAGGTTTATTTGTCAGAGGGAATATGATCATAAGGATGTTTCACATGTGTACTGTAGATGTCAAACTGAAACTATTTGAGACTTACTGTTCATCGATGTACTGTGCACACCTGTGGTGGAACTATAGGAAGGCAACTATGAATCGACTCATTGTGAGCTATCACAACCTTCTTAAACGACTTATCGGGTTATCGAAATTTGAGAGTACGAGTATGACATGTGCATATTTTAGAGTGCTGAATTGTGAAAGCGTGTTCAGGAAACTTATTTATAAGTTTCTGAGAAGACTTGAACAAAGCCCCAATAGCATCATTGAAGCAATCAATTCAGGGGATCTCCGTTTCAGATCAAAACTGAGACGCTTTTGGCTCAGTAAGCTCTATTGTCATGCTGTGCTACATTGAATGTGCATCGACTGGGAGTGTGCCTTAATCGATGTTTGTTGTTCATCCATCATCCATCTGGTACATCCATCATCAACTCATAGCAATGGACTGTTAGTCTGAAATACAAATCTATCTATCTATCTATCTATCTATCTATCTTATCACTAGTGTCTTATTTCCCTTCTCACAATAGAAGCTGTGTATGCAGTTTGAATTCCATCAGTGAGGATTGGTTAGGAGTGTGGATTGATTGAGGATGTGCTGACACTTCATGTGAAACTGACACTTCTCTGTGGTGCAGGTATGATGAATGGAAATCCAAATATATCAGGAACAAGACAACCACCGCAGCCTTTCAAGCAGCCAGATGTGAGTTTATTTATTTATTTATGCATCCTAATCTCATATGATGAGTGATCCTGTTCTGCATAGTAATAATGATTGCAAGATACTGTTGAGTAAGTACAAGTAGGAAGGAGCATTGGTGATATTTTTTAAAGTAATTCAAGAGTTATACATTTTGTAGAGCATGCTTTTCCATATATCAAAGAAAACCCACTCTTATTTTCTATGTCCATTTTAAGTAAAAATGTGTTACGAAAAAATTTGTTGTTGATCATTGCAACACGTTTCAGATCAACGAGTATCGGCGTGAAGTGCCCGATGTTTCTCTCGTCTTCAACCCAGAGGAGCGAAGTCTGGTGCTGCCCCTGTTGCCAGCTGACCGTCAGCAGGAGCAGAATATCCTCCATCGCAGCCGCTCTGTGCCTGGCCGCATCAGCGACCCCGCCCGACTGCCACAACAGCCCGTTCACTATCGCACGCCGCCCCCACGGCCGGCCAGTGACCACTACGCGCCGTCATGGCCCAGCCCAGGGTCCTCCGTCCCTCCCCGGCCCAGCTCGGCATCATCCGCTCCTCACCGCCCCAGTCCGACGTCCTCCGTCGCCTCACGGCCCAGCCCAGGGTCCTTCGTCCCTCCGCGCCCCAGCCCGGCGTCATCCGCCCCTCCCCAGCCCAGCCCGCTGACTCGGCCAGCCGCCGTGGCGCCAGCGGACGTCAGCATTTGCTACGATGACGGCAGAGAGGTGCCTCGTCCGACCGTGGCCGCTCGTATGACGCCGCCCGCCGAGTCGGCGGCAGTCTCGCCGCGCTCCGCCGGCTCGCCCGTCTCCAGCGGCGGCGGTGCGGGGGTACAGGTGCCGGCCGAGCCGTCCTGCTGCGGTGCTGAGCTGCGCGCCGTGCTCCGACTGGTGGCCGACAACGGCCGGCAGCTGGCGCAGCTCCGAGCCCAGTTCCGGCAGCTGCTGAGCCGCGAGACGCCGCCGACACCCCCAGCGCGGTGCGTGCTGATGCGCGAGGCTCACACCCAGACAGAGGACGACACTCCGCGCCGGCCGACCACTGCGGCGGCGGCAGTCAACACCAGCTTCAGTCTAACGCCGCGCCGCGATGTGGGCACCGACCCTGCGGCTCCGTGTCCGCCGGCCCGCGCCGATCGGACGGCCGCTCCCCCTCCTCCGGCCGAGCGGGCGGCCGCTGTCCCTCCTCCCGCCGCCGAGGTGACCGGCAGCGGCGGCCGAGAGAACACCGCCCAGCTGCAGCGGCGGCGCGTGCAGGAGTGGGTGGCCGGCGAGGGCTGGGCCGAGGAGGCCGAGCCGGAGCTGACCCTGCGCGGACTGGTGCTGCCGCCCGTGCCCGAGCAGCAGCCCAGTCCCGAGGCCAGTGTGCACGTGGACATGCCGGTGTACCAGCAGTCGCCGGGAGGGTGAGTGTACAGCCGCTGATAGTGGCGGGGTGGGTGTTATTCTTGGATTGGACCGTTCGATATTATTGCTGGGGTGAATTATGGGCATTGTAGCCGAGAAGAAGTTAAGGTTGCTGGTCGTCAATGGCTGTGAATGGAATGTTTTTTTTTTTTTGCCATTTCCGCTGGGAGAACTATGGGTAGGTCCATAGACCTCTGTACACCTGGACTGAGCGCAGACATTTCGGCCATGACCATAGTGGCCCTAACTTTCAGATGTTATATCTCGAGATCAGTAACACCCAGATAGGTCCGGTCTTCACTGTTTGATGGCCTCGTGCATTAAAAATTGAATGCAGTGTCTGCGGGAGATATCGGCTGGCACAGAGGAGGGTCTGCGCGTGGCGCGTGAGGGGTGTTTACAAAGTTGGTCTAATGATATCTCCAGAACCGCGTCACTGATTGAGCTCAAATTTGGTATGTGACCAGATACAATACATCGAACACTATCACATTTCTCAAATAGGGGGTGCTGGTGCACGTGCGCACGTGTACACCCCTTCTTTATATCTCAGTAACCACTGGCCCGATTGAGCTCAAATTTGGTATGTGCCCAGATGACATACATTAGCCACTATTGCATTTCTGAAACAGGGGGTGCTGGTGCACGTGCGCACGTGCGCACCCCTTCTTTATATCTCAGTAGCCACTGGCCCGACTGAGCTCAAATTTGGTGTGTGGCTAGATGACATACATTAGCCACTTTTGCATTTCTGAAACAGATGGTGCTGCTGTGGGTGCTGCCGCACGTGTGCACGTGCACACACTTTCTTATGTGTCCGGAACTGCTAACCCGATTCTTGGGCCCGATTGAGCTCAAATGTGGGGCCAAACATCAAGCAACTGCCGCTAACGCATTTCTGAAACTGTATGGGCGCATTCTGGAACCGCTGACAGTGCACTTCCCTTTTTATGCAAACTAATCGGCGCGTGCCATTGCTCTCAAGTTCGGAGTGCAGTATCATATCATGCATCTCCGTCAGAGGCAACCCTCGAACAGGGGATTCTGTTCTAAGTTTACAAGAGAACAGTAGCTGCGGAACACCTTCAATTAAGGAGGGAGGGGGGGGGGCACTGCCGACTTTTGGTCCCATTCTTTCCATGCAACGCCCATAGGGCTAATGTTAAAATGCCAAAATCAAAGGGGGCACGGTGCCCAGGTGCCCTCCCCGTTCCGCCGCCTATGCAAAAGAATGTCTCTTTCGAATGGTTTTATTTGACTTTTTCCACTTTGAACAGTAGATCTGTAAACGATTTATAAAAAACTCATTGCAAAACGATTTTATTTTACTGAACTTTCTTATTCTTCATACCTACACGAATGAATAACCAACTCCACAGAAGTCATAACGTATCACACGAATGCGAAACGGCCCCCGCTAAACCAACGCCACGGCCTCATTATTGACTCTCAGGCATTCGCACTCGATATTCCACACGGACCAGCGTTCAACCACCAGCCACCAAAACCGTTATGTCACTCGGTGACCTGTCAAGGACAGCGACGACAAAGTGGCCGTGTAGGAGATATTGTCCCTGTATACCATCGAAGTACATAATTCTACAGCTACGTAATTTTAGTACGTAATTACATTTCTTTCACGCCAACGTTTAGGCTGCTGATATTATCACGGTTTTGTGTGTTGTCCGTGGGCTGGTCGCGTTGCCGCATGCATGCACATTGCACACTACTGACGTTTATCTCACTACTGCCGGCTACCATGGCCGGCTACCACGTCTTCAATATGTCCTTATTCAGTCTGGGGCCTGATCTATGATGCATGCCCCACTGACGCATGACAACACTTAGGCACTTGAGCAGTGCTACGGGTTGTCCTCCACGTGGCACATAAGGAGATAGCACACGGGTAGCTCCGTCTGAACAGTCGATATTCTCACAGCCCAGGCAGTCCTCCGTCGCGTGACGGTCGATGCTGTTTGCCTACTGAGGCACGAGCAGCACTACCTATATAGGCTTAGGTAGTGCTGCGTGGGTGTTACTGATCTCGAGATATAACATCTGAATTCTGAAAGTTAGGGCCACTATGGTCATGGCCGAAATGTCTGCGCTCAGTCCAGGTGTACAGAGGTCTATGGTAGGTCCAAGTTCAAAGAGTCTGAGTTCAAGCTACCGACCCGTTCATAGGTAGTCCGATCAAACGTGATAAGACGGACAGACGCATGAATATGGATTGCGTATGAATTCGTGGTTCCATTTTCCGAATGACTGTCGCCTAATTGCAGACCTGCAGTGTATTCTGTATGTTGTTCGGCTTTATATTATTTTTGTAATTTTCCTTAACTACAACGGATTAACGAAGTGTGCTGTTGTTTTTCAGGTCTTGCGACGGCTCTGTGGCCGATGACGCCGAAGCAGACCGACCCAGACGGCCGGACACGACCTTCTTCCAGAACGTTATGGTAAAGAACGAGGACCCCATTTACCTTGGCACTGCCGCCGTGTTTGCGCTACACACGATGACTTGGTGTATCCGTGGTGCTACAAAAACACTGCCTCTTGTCCAGGACAAGACTGCCTCTTGTCCAGAGTCCCAAAATTTGTAGATGTGTCATGTGGGTGGGAAACGACATCCAAATGCAAATCATTTTCCACTCTCACCTCCAGTTTTCAAGCCCAATTTTCCACTCCCCATTCCACCGAGAAGGAGCAATTGCGGGAATGGTTGTTTTACATCTGTCACAATTGTAGATAGATTAATGTTTTTGATCATTTTCCCACTCTTTTTGGGCCTTACCTGACCGACAATTTTTCACTCTCATCCTTTTTTTGGTCAGCAATTTTCCCCTCTGACACCCAAGCAAAAATATGATTTTGGTACACTGCTTCTCCTCCCCCGTCGCAGGGTCAGGTGAACCAGATTCTGGACGGCGCGGCGGCGCGGGCCGAGTCCGGCGGCTCGGCCGAGGCCAGCGACAAGTCGCAGAGTCTGTCGGCGTCGCCGGTACCGCGTCACCGGGACGAAGAGGTGATCGAGGCCGAGACGGACCCGGTGCGGCGCGCCACCCTGCAGCAGCTGCGCGCGGCCGGCGTCAGTCTGGTCACCAGCCAGGCCAACGACGAGTGAGTCAGGCTCCGAGCCGAGGGCCACGGCCACTCGGATGGGCTGGTAGACGCTTAATGGGAAGGGGGTTAATTAGGCTTTGCGACGGATGCTACTTTCTCTTGCAGAAAAACAATAACACTTTAAGAATGGGCTCTGGCACGATGAGTATGGTTAGGTTCAATGTTTTCTTTCCGTGTAGTAGGTTGAAAATGGCCGTATGGAATTGAGGTGAATTAAAGCGTGTTGGATCCAATGTTCTATCTATCTCATCACAAATAGCTTTTGATCAGCGTGCCGTTTAGATCGTTCAAAAAAAGGCCGCAGTTCGGTGTCCCTGCCTTTTCTCTCGCCCCCACCCCCCGTTGTCCTGTTTCCTCATTCCCTGGTGGGGGACCCCTTAAGCCTCACACGTTTGACGGTCGCCATTTCTCAGGTCAGTGCTGGACTACTCGTGTCCCCCACGGGCCGTGCGGACCACGGCAGCCGTGCCGTGCAGCACGGACCTCAGTCTCGAGATGAACACACTGGCCATGAAGTACGTGGACAGCCGGCAGCTGATGCAGCGCGCCGCCGCAGGTACGTGACTAGATGGGCACACAGTCGAAAGGGGTGATTTAACGGATGAGATTCGACAGCCGCTGATCTTAAGCCGATTGTGGGCACCGCAGTGCAACCGGGAATAGATGTGTCAGCACATTCCGACGGAATGTGCTGTGTGCTACGGAATGATTCCGTATCACACTGCAGCAAAGGATTGAATTCAGTGTTGTCGTCTGCTAGCCACACTGAGGTTGGTCATGGTATAAAAACATATTGTTCTACATAACTTATCCCTCACGCATGTCTCACCGCAGAACTAAAAACGAACCCGGAATGAATTGACTGAACCATCATGAACTAATTCCAACTACCGTATTTATCGAGGCCTGGCCCTGACATCTTCCTGTTCGGTTTCAGTGGGCGGCCGGCCGTCGCCGCACCCAGTCGAGGCGCGTCTCCTGGGCAAGGAGAACCTGGCGCCGCCCTCGCGCGGCCGACCCACCGACATGACCATGTACGGCATCTCCGACTCCAACATGTCCTTCTCCACCAGGAAGTACATGGAGAAGTTCAACCTGCAGTCATGACGCGACACCAGCCGTCGTAGCGGTAGGACACCGGTCTGCCCCGAATAGCTGAGATTTATTCAATGGTTTATATGTTTAACAGGGGCCAACGCTGCGCCGCATGTTGTTACGCACCGCTAATTCTGTACAATACATTAAAACGTGCTTCAATCCGCTAGTGTCCACCGTCACCAGTTCGACAACTCTGTGACGGTAACAGTCAAACGGCTCGGCCTTCTGAGACATCTTACACACATCAACATTCGTGAACAACCCAAGAGCGATTCAGCAAAGACGCTGCTAATACGATTAACATCACAGAACCGTCGGCGCTGCCAGGCGACGACACGCCAGCTCTACGCGTGAATATCACACACTACAGACTCTGCACTATCATAAGGAGAAACTCTCACCGCAACCGCACGTGCCCTTGATGTTTGGGTTGTTGAACACAAATTCACTGGCCAGCTTTGTTTCCGAGTAGTCCATCTCTGTGCCGAGCAGAGAGAGCTGCGCCTTCCGATCGATTAACACGGTAACGCCTGCAGTAGAAACATGTCCGTGAATGTCATGGCATTAGCAGAAACGTGTAACGTAATTTCAAACTGGATGTTGGACTGGATGCATAAAAATCGTGTGTGATTATTTAATTTTAGTCGACAAAGGACTCTATCTTACTCCTTTTGTCTCATGCTTTAGATTAGAACACTACCAGATTAATGACGATCTATGTAAGAGAGGATATTTTAAAGTTGACCAACGTGGCGGTTCACTTTTGCCAAGCTTACCATCTTGTTTAACTTCTTCATCTAGCTTTCCCTTCTCGAAGGCATAGTCGAGTGTGTAGCTCAGCCCGTTGCACCCTCTCTGCCGAACGCCAACCTTGAGGCCAATCTGTGATGCATATGGAGATCAGTTTGATGCTGCCTTGGATGCTGCTCTCATAAAAGGCACTAGTTTTAAGGAAATCTTAGGCCATCAGCCAAGAAAGACACATTATCTAAAGAAAGATGCAAACAAGTTTTCTCTTGGCAAACAAAAATGTATGACAACCTGAGGATAATTCATCACTACCACATTTCACTCCACATTTATATTCAACTAGGAACTTTGAGTATTAAGTGGACAAGTCAAGTAAAAATATGCCCTGAATAAGAAATATGAGGAGTTATCAAAATTTATCACATCTTATTACGGAGCGAGCGAAGCGAGCGGAGTCTTTCCTTAGATTAACGGAAATTTCTGAGTATGAGCGGCCGGCCGGCCGGCCGGCCGGCCGTGGGGACGCTCTTCAAAAGCTAATATCTTAGGAACGGGACATCCGATTGACAAGCGGTCTTCTTTACTGAATGTCACTTGGACGTAAAAGTTCTGTGGTGTGATGGCCACCATGCCTTCTTGCCAACCACCGCACGTGGCGCGTGGTAAAGTTGGACATTTTTTAAGAACCCCCAAAATTGCAACCTCAATAACGGCACAACGGTTGGGCCGATTGAATTGAAACTCGGTACACAGTTAGGTCTCCATCAGATAATTCATCTGCATGTGTTAAGGTTGGGGTGCTGCTGCACGTGCGCACGTGCAGGGGTCGTTTCCAGATCTCGAGAACGGCTGGACCGATGGCGCTCAAATTTGGTACACGGTTAGGGACCAGTTAGTAGGGTGCCGTGCACAAGTCAGTTGGGACCCATTTTGCACGTGCGCACGTGCAGGGTGCCGCTTCCAGATCTCGAGAACGGCTGGGCCGATTGTGCTCAAATTTGGCACATCGCTAGAGACCGGTTAGTAGGGTGCCGTGCACAAGTCAGTTGGAGGTACCCCCTCGAAATTTCGCACGTGCAAGGCCCACCCTCTCGCTCGCTCCGTTAGTCGCCCCATAAGGCGTTATACTGGTTCTTACCTTTCAAAGAATACTTGCATTTACAAAATATTTATTGGCACACATTTAAAGATTTGAATAGGAATTTTTTAAGAACAATGTATACTTACTGCATCTGGCTTGGCACTGAGGACAGTCTTGATTTTATCAACTGCATTCTTAGTCTGAAAGAGAAAAATTATCTCAAACGTTTTCAAAAAGCTGTCTACAATCACTAGCATAAGCAGGCTAAGTGAGAGTAATTAAGACATGTTAAAGATTTTTATGGAAAGTACCAGTAAGCCAACATTGACTGATTGACCTGCTATTCAATCTCGCAGAGCACATATCAGTCATGCTTAAAGTTTCTTAACAGTTCACACTTTGTTCAACTTAAGTACCTCTACAGCTGAAAACCCTATGAGTAATTGGTAGGTAGTAGTAAAGCAGCTGTCACACTTTTTTAGCAACCAAGGAGAGGCACTGTAGATTAGGTTTAAGGTTTTAGGTGGTAGGTTTTAGGTTGTAGGGAATGTTTGGTTTGGTTTGATTAAAAAGCATCTCTGGGTGTAGCGTCTCTCCTTGGTCGAAAAAAAACAAGCTTGACACATGCTTTACAACTACAAGTAACTTTTACCTATGATATTTCTGACTGTTATCGTTCAAGGTATCATACTCAAGTATTACTCACCAGAACCAGTGCTGCCCTCGTAGGGATCAGCCTTTTGCCGCCTCGTACTGCTCTGACAGTGGCGGTGGCGACAGGAGCAGCCATTCAGAGGCTGAGATGTCTGACAATGGAGTAGGTACACTTATTGATGAAAGGAAGATTTGAATCTGTAACTGGGGAGTATTGCTTTATAAATTTGCTGCCTCCCCAGCTAACTCAACGTTAACAATCTGTTCTTGTTATCGAATAAGGCTCAATCTTTACCACACGTCTCAAATTTATTTCAAAAAGTGAGAATCAATGTTTGATGAGCTTGAGAGGGTGCTGGGTACACTTGAGAGGTCCTTGAAATAAACTCAACTTTGATGTGCTTGATCCTTGGCTTGAGACTTGAAATAAATTGAAAGATATATAATATAAACAGTGATATAAACGCATCACATCAAATCTCTACTGCGCATATTTTGACGCAATCGTTCCGATTATGTAACGATTTCCGTGCTGCCTTTGTGCTGCCAAATAAAGTGAAGTAAAATTTGGCAGGGGGAAATTGCAAGAGCCGCTAAGTTGAAGTAAAATGATCGTGGGAAAATCAGAAATGTCATTTGGGCGGTTGCACAGCCTTGGCACAGCCTGCAAGCTCGGGTGCGGGGCCCGGGTCGGATGTGTTTGCTATCTCAAGGTCCAAGGAGCCCCCTGGCCTGGCTCTTTGAAGAAAAAAATATTCGAGGAATGCAGACTGGATAAGTGTTGTTTTCGGACTGACATTAGAATGTTACCCCGTCGAATGATGTGCCGTTTTTTAGGTTAACTTTAGTGTTATCTTCATAGTTCATGGTAAGGTCACTGGTCTGTGGTCAGTGGTCCGCATATTTCTATATGTTTTGCCATTTCGGCGTATAAAGGCCTGGCTACACTATGCGTTTTCTGCGTGCGTTTTCTGCGGGTTTGCGTGTTTTGCGTAATATCGTTCTAGAAAAAGAACGATATTACGCTTTTGTGATGTTTTTTTTATGATAAATTTTGGTAAATATAAGAGTTTTAATAGCTTTCGTATATAACGAATGTAAAACTTATATTATTTATCACTTTTTTCTAGAACGATATTACGCAAAAAGCGCAAACCCGCAAAAAAACGCACGCAGAAAACGCATAGTGTAGCCAGGCCTTAACTCGTGAACGAATAGAGGTGCACAGCGCCACGGCAAAGCCGCGGAGCATCCGGAGGATAAAAGCTATCAAAATTGACGTTATTGAAAAAACCTAAATCTGGAAAACTTTTCACACAGGCTTTATTTGTTATTCATTTCACCAGAATCGTGTCTTTTTCGTGTTTCGAGACGCGATGAATGAAGTACTCTAAAAAGCAATTTTGAAAATTTGCCCTGAGGTCAAGGTCAAGAGCTGACCGGAAAGGATCACGCTGCGTAACAGTCGATGCGTATTGTTGGGCTAAATGCATCCAAGGTATGTAAGTACCTATTTTCATCGCTCTGGCGTACCTCTTTCAAAAGTTATTGTAGGAAAAATTGTTTGAGATCCTTTATGACCTGAAGTGACCTCTCTCAGGGCATAAAAGGGGCGGGTCACGGGTGCAATTTTTACGAATGTTTAGAATGAATTCCGTCCAAAATAGCGCAGTTCAGTTTTCCCTATTTATTGACTTAGGTATAGGATTGGAAAAGTTGCAAAATTGTCTTCAACAATCTCCAGCTTTTTACGGGTCTAGAAAAACGTAGCTCACAGCGCAGCGAAATTTTTGATAGTTTTTCATACCTAAATTTTGCATCTTGCAGAGCCAGAAAGCAACTGGTTGAGGTCAGTTCACATGAGGTCAGGTCAACAGGTCGTTATAAGCAGGGCTGCGGAGTCGGAGTCGGAGTCGGAATCGGAGTCGGTCGGAGTCGACAGTTGTGACCGGAGTCGGAGTCGGAGTTGGAGTCGATTTTAGAAACCCGAGCCGGAGTCGGAGTCGGAGTCACCGAAAATCTGTCGACTCCGCAGCCCTGCTAGGTCTGCGGAGTCGGAGTCGGGAGTTGGAGTCGGTCGGAGTCGACAATTCTGCCCGGAGTCGGAGTCGGAGTCGGAGCTGGTTTTTGAAAGCCGGAGTTTGAGTTGGAGTCGGAACTCGGAGTCGCCGAAAATCCATCGACTCCGCAGCCCTGGTTATAAGTAACTATACCATGCCACCTTGCAATTCTGTCATTCCTACAGCTCATCTCTTAAAAGTTCGAAGCTCGGTAATATTGCACGAAGATACCAGTGCCAGCTAGTAGGTATACCTATGTACTGTAGCCTGGGGTGAGTCATATTTGTTACCTCACCATCACAAGACGATGGAGGAAAAACAAAGGCCTCCTCACCCTGCCTTGAACGAAAACGTCAAAATCTTTTTCATAAATATGACAGTGTTTACTCAAGTGATTACCGACATAGGTACCTACCTATATGCTATTGGCAGGATGCAGCTGATGGCCGGCTGTCACTCAAAAGTTCATGCAAGGTCATAAAAGGTCACCAGCCATTTTTCGACAAAAACTTTGAATTAAATCATGGGAGATCGATAAAAGCTCCTAGAATGTGTTCAGCTGAACAATGGTTAATAACAATCGATTGATATGCAGCATAAGCTTTCTCGGGTCA